AAATTTCGTTAGCAGTCCCGGCCGTCACGACCGCCGCCGCCGGCGAGTCCTGCAACTTCTCCAGGCCCATAAAGAACACCTCATCATCTCCCACCACTTCCATGTCTTCTACCAGCAGCATCCCTTCGTCTTCTTCTTCTTCTTCCTCTTCCTCCTCTTCATCCTCCCCGCTTTCTTCCCTCTTCGACGGCGTGCAAGGCGAGCCCTCCGGTCGGCTCCCCTGTTCTCCGGCGGCCGTTGCCGACGAAAGTTTCTGCCGCGTGCTGCCGGCGAGCGAGTTCCGGTGAGTCGGAAGCGAGTGGTTGTGCTCACCGGTGTAAGTTATTACAAACATTGCCGGATCTGTACGGCTTCGCTCTACTTGCTTCCGAGCTAGGCATCCCTTTGAGCTGCTACATCTATAATATCCCCTGTTCCATTTCCCCCAAAGAGTGAGCTTTCCTCTGTTTTTCTTTTCCCCCTCTCTGAAACAGAATATAAGATGTGGTAAGGATTACCGAGGATATGGCGAGCCCTTGATGGGTTTCTGTCCGTACTTTCTCCAAGCCCACATATCGGCGGCGAGCCCGTCGGCGGGGACTTCGCATACCACTCTCTTCTGCTGATTCCTCCTACAAATTTTCGGGCGAGATCTAACCAAATGAGCTGCTTTTTAAGCTAAAAATGGTAAATGCAAGCAAAAGATACCTTTTTTTGGAGCGGTAAATAGTCCGCGAGAGCAATCGTCGCGGTGCGGCCAACGGCGTCGCAGCGCCGCCTGCCTGGGAAGAAGAACAGGACAAAGGCGACAGCTTTGGCTCCTGAGTTTTGGAGAAGAAGGGATTACTGAACTTATCTCGTCTGAACGCCTCCGCGGGCAAGCCCCCCCCCGCCGGCAGCGGCTGAGGCCGTGAAGCAGCGCGGCAGCTTCGAACCACCGCGAACAGATCCCAGCCGTCGTCGTTCTTCTCCATCGCCACCCAAGCGAACATCAGTCAGACAGACCTGTAGAAGAAAGAAAGGTATCGCCTTTCGCCTTTCCGGGAGCTCCAATGGCGGAATTTGTAGATTGGGAAAACGCGGCGCTGACTTTAGGGGATGGAGGATGAAGATGAGCTGGGTTGTTTTATCAAGGTGGGGGTTAAAATGGGCATTTCATGTGTTGGTCGGCCATGGGTGCACGGAATCCGCTTCTCGTTTTTTCTGAAAACTAAAATCCGCTTGACTTTTGTAAAATGTCAAAGGAGTGAGAAGTGTGAAGGAGCGTTGAATTAAAAAAAAACTTCTCTTTTTTTGAAAAGTCGCCTCCACCCACCTCCACGCGTAGGCTCTAGTTCTCGCGGCATCCGAAAAACAGATTGGGAAACGGTTCGCACCCAGATTTGTACCCGGGGGTCTTCTGTGAGGTTGGGGTGGGTCACGTATTTTCAGTACGGTTTTGGGTGCTGTTAGGTATGAGGGGCAACAGCCGGACGGCAGTAGCAGCGGCAGCGCTGCGCAGGTGGGGACCGGGCCCGGTCCGGCCGGGTGCGGTTCGGCCGGCCGAGAATCACGTGCAGAACAGGTGGGGACAGATTCTGAGTTCGTTAAGAGATATATAGTTGATGAAGTAAACGGAGAAAATAATTTATTTCTATAAGAAGTTATGAGGAATAAATTATTTTTTTAATATAATGAAATATTTTTTTTCCTATTTTATATTTATTTTTTTAGTTTTTTTTTTTTTATCAAGAATTATTTGATTTCATATTTTATGTTTTTCATATATTTCCTAATAATTAATATGAATTAATTATTGGAGATATTATATGATATATCTTTCAATGATATATCTTTCA